GCATACTTAGCCACAGACATTCAAGATGGCTCTGGGAACAGTAAAAGAAAAAAAGAAATTCTAATTTAAGCAGAACCTACATAGAAATAAAGGCACAGCAGCCAATGGTCACATACGGGAACGTTCTATCTACGTACTGTAGTCTCCCCCTTTCTCTCCCGAAGCGGTAAACAGCACCAGGCTCCCTGAACAAATAGCACATCACATTTCTAAACTTGACCCTGCTGTTGCCGACCTAGCTCCAGGTCTTGGCGTCAACCCCGTGTTGGCGGAGGAGCCACGCTGCACTAGGCAGCTTGTTACGTGAGCTGTGGCCTCCTGACCTACCCTCACCACTCCCTGCTCCCACTAGGGGAAGGGGCCATCTCGGTCTTGTCCACAGAAGATTCCTTATTCTCCAACACAGGGCCTGACCCGGGGAAGTGCATGTTGCGTACACAGACAAGTAAGAGAATGAATCGATGGCTGGATAAAAATGCAACAAGGCCGTCCTCACTCTGAAAACCAGTGACCGGCATCGGTGCTTTCAGGCCGGCGGTAAGCAGCTTGGCATTACATTTATTCAGTGATAGGAAAACAAGACAGGATCTGTTCTGCTGTCTGATACAACACAAAACGGTTTTTCTGGTTTGTTTCTCAGATGTTGAGCATGAATAGGGAGGAATGAATTATCTTTTTATCTGTAGGGTCTACTAAATCAGATTAGGTTGCTCTTTCACTTACAGCCCTCAATGGCTTCTCATTTTAGAGACTAGAAGCCGAAGTCCTTGCTGAGGCTGCGCTGCTCCCCGCTGCCCTCAGCTCCCTTCCTGCTGCTCTTCCCTCGGCTCCTCCTCAGCTACACCGGCCTGGCCTCACTGCTGCTCCCTCAACCAGCCACGCTCGCCCCACCCAGGGACCTTCCTAGCGTGCTCCCTCTGCCTGAAACTCTTAAGGGAAAAGAATATTAATGATCTGTCCTGGAATTTGGGTCAGCAGCTGAAAGAGGGCTCTGATAAGAGCAGGAAGCATTCCCACCATGTCACAGGACATGTGGGTATTCCCACAGGTAAAGTATAAACAAGATCATTCACTGTCACAGGTCTAAGCTTTGAACAGAGAAAATGTGGAAATAAATTATAGATTTACACGCACACTGATTAGCCCTGGCAACAATGAGAAAAAGGAATTACTTATCTATCACTGGAGATCAGGGATTCAGCATAGGTGGCCAAGAAATAAAGGTCTTCTGGTGGCTTTTCTCTTTATTTGGTCCCAGCCTCAGGACGAAAGTTAAGAGAAAGACTGCTGATGTGGGAACAATAACTAAACTTTTTATACCATCTCTGACAGCCACAACGACGACAGAAAATCAAACCCATGTTCCCCTGTCAGGGCAGCTGTGCCTGTTGGGAAGAGGCCCTTCTGCAACTCAAAAAGCTTGTATTTCACGAGATGAGGAAAAGCCTAAAACAGCGATCGGCCATCTGCACTGAAGGCTCAATAACAGTCCATTGTCTGGGGTCACGCTCTGCATCGTTCTTTGCTAGAGAAACTGTGGCCAGTGGGAGAAAAACATCTCACCGTCATTAATTGCTGTGACGTTGAGAACTATGTTAAGGGAATGCTCACTATGTGCCAATCACTGCTCTTAGGAGCTTCATCTGTATTGACACATTTCTTTCTCATACATGTGAGGTGGTTACCATTATTGATCCATTCTACAGATGAGAAAATGTTAAGTAGTAACTTTCCCATGGTCACATGGCTGTGACTTCAGAGCCCAAGTTATTAACCAACAGGCCACCTGGCTTCCTAGTATAACCAAGCCAGCTTCGTTTCAGCAGCCCATCAACCACGTCATTGAGTTAAAATGACAAGCACATAAAACCCCAGCCATGAAAGCAAAGACCACAGGGTTCAGTGAAGGCACAGACGGGGAACGCCAGGTTCGGCCCAGCTTCAGGTGAGCCCTCTTTCCGCCTTTCCAGCCTGTGTGTCACCTAAACACATCTCTCCAAATCATGAAGTGAGCTTCTTAGAAAAACAAAGCAGCGGACCTAGCTGTAAAGCACCCTTTATCTGGTCCAGGCCCGACTTCCGCTCTGCTTCGTTGCGGAAGCGCCTTCGGATGGTGGGGAAAACCTTGGTCTCCCACGCTTTCACCAGCAGGGCGTAGTGGTCCTCCTGGAAGAAGAAGGCAAACTCATGAACAGAGAAGGACCGCCCCGCGCAGACGTCAGTCCTGCCCTGACGTACAGCTCTCGCCCGAGGTCTTCACCCCACTTGCATGCCAGTGAGGAGACACGCCGTGTGGACCACCCAACTGAATACACCTGGGGAGCCGGGGAAGGCATCAGCTGGACTGGGGCGAGCCCTTCCCTGCCCTCTAAAGCCAACTTTACTGCTGAGTTACGTCAAAGTATTTCATTTCTCCAACACCTGGGTTGGTCCTGGGCAAAAGAGCCCAACGGCTATTGCTACTGATGAATGGTTTTGGCAAATGAACACTCCAGAGTTACTGTTCAAACCCAGTGACATAACTCAATGCCTAACAATTCCAGCCTTGTACACTCAGATCAAAATCATTCCTCGTGGCTTGTTCTGGGCACCAGGGCGCTAAGTGAATGCTGTAGGTCTCCTACCTGTGGGATGTCGTCGTCGTCATCGTCATCACTTTCATCGTCTGCAATGGGAGGCGGGTGGGGGTCTGGGCCAGAAGTGATGAAATTCTCATAGCTGAGCTCTACTTTGTAATGACAGGAAGTATCACTGTCGTATTCTGTAACAAAGCACAACGATGGTGAATTCTAGGCAAGAACAGGACGGAAAAATCATGAACTTCTCATCGTTGGGCAAATCTCTTAATTTGCAGGACAGAAGACTCCTAGTACTTGTAGGAATTTTCAAGTGCAGAGCCAAGGAATAACTAATCACTTATAATTACCCTGAATCCTGCAACAGTTTCAATTCCTTTAACTCAAGAGAAGAATTTGGAAAGTTCATCATAAGCATTAAACGAACGCCTTTTAAGACAGTTTGCAAACCCGTCTCCCAAGGGCCCCATATGGCCTGCAGGTATCTTTAGCTCAATTTTATTCAATTTGATTATGAAACTTTTCAAATAATCAGGAAAGCATTTAGTGCACACATGTATACCCACAATGGGCATTTCATTATTTTTTGATGACCTCGGTTTTAAAACAATTTAAGAAATTAACATTTTAAAATTATGAGATTTCATATAAAATTCTGGGGTTTTTAGCTGTCTTATAAGAAGTGGATACTCTTTCAGACTTGCACGTCCACATGGCCACAGTCCCTTGGCACCGAGCAGTGGCGGGCTTCCTGTATGTGGGAAAGGCATTGTCCAGTCTGCCTCGCGTCCTCCTGATCCCCATTTTCTTTCGTTGGGCCTGTTACCCCGTTCCCAGTGGGCACTAGAGCGAGCCCAAGTTAAACGGATTTCTAGAAGTAACAGCATTCGCATTCCCCGGAAGCGGTGGGGACCTGGGAGGCGGCAGCTTACGTTGCTGAGCAGTGGCCACAGCTGCAATCCGACACGGTGGCCCGTGAGTGCCTGGGTCTGATGCAATACTGGTGCCGGCATCATTGTCACTGTCCGATGCCATGGCAAAGGGCAGGGCCTCAAAATTAGCACTGATCTCTTCTGCCAGGTCAGTGCACAGGTCGGCGGCGTTGCGGTGGGCCTGCCCTTCGGCATAGGCGAATGGACGAGAGCCAAAGTTAGCGCGAGTCTTGGTGTTCTGGAAAGATCAAATAAAGGGTTTGAAAGGACTTAGGCTGGCTGGCTTGCTTATTTATTTTTAACACCCTGAGGTGAACCTCACTGACCATCAAACCCAAAAACAGCCATAGCTATGGGACAACATGTGACCCTGGGCCGAGGGGCTGGTGTAAACTGCAAGCTGATGCTCAGAGCTCAGCACCCGACAGCCTGCCGCCCCTCGCCTTGCACTGTGTTGCTCAGACACAGTGACTTTTCTTGTTTCCGACACTGCTCCTTTCTACCTGGTGCCACTGTGCACGCTTTTCCCGTCCCCTGGAACATTCCTTCCTCCAGTTTTGTCTAGTTAAGACAGGAAAATCTTCTGGACCTGACTCAAACATCACTTCTTCAGGGTAATGAGGACCATAGTTGCTTGGTACTTGTTTCCATAAAGTCTACGATTTTTGATTCTACTGTAGCGGTTAGTTTTATGTGTCAGCTTGAGTGGCTGTGGGTGCCAGATTAAACACTGCTTCTGGGTGTGCTGTGGGTGTGTTTCCGATGAGATCAGCACTTCAGTGGGTAAACTCAGCAGATAGCCCTCCCCAGCATGGTGGAGCAGCATCCAAATTACTAAGGAGCATGTTTTCCTTCCCAGCAAGACAACCTGCCTTTTTCTGAATGTGAACCACAGGCCACATCCCACCAGAGACATCCTCGAGATACGGCGAGAGGCGCTGCCCGCAGTATGTGAAGTACACTCGGCCCTTGGCTGGCTGCCCCGGAGGAGGCGGAGTCCCCTCGGTTCTCTCCCAGCCAATTCCTGCCACGTCACCTATGGCAGAAAACAGGAAGAAAAGGGCACTTTTTCCCACTCTTATTGACCATTAAATAAATTTCCAAATTGCAAACAGTGTGATGAGGCCACATATCATTGACTATCTTTGTTTTTATTTATTTATGCCATTAATTATGTCCAAAAAAGACATGAATTTATTGTATTTAAATAAATATAAAACAGTAGAAATAAACGATTTTAAAAAGAAACTGTTTAGAAGAAAAAATGCCTAGTGTCTTAGAACATTATGGACCTAGAGGGTATTATGTGCTAAGTGAAATAAGTTGGAGAAAAACAAATGCCATATGATCTCACCTGTATGTGGAATCTAAAGAACAAAAGAAACAAAACAGAAAAAAAAAGCCTAGTGTCCGCATTAAGTTAGTTACCACAATTACACTTTAATTTTAGCTTTTATTTTCCTGGCAGCCAAAACCAAAGGTATAACATTAGGTATGATTTTTTTAAATCAAGGAATATGTCTTTCTCCTTTGACACCTGAAAGATTACTTATGGCATAAAGGTAAAAAGGTCATATTTTCTCAATAAATTTGTGGAAGATTTAGAAATGGTCTTCAAAATATAATTTAAAACAACCCGCAGTGTAAACTAATGATATACAATTGAAGCACATTATGTCCCTTTAGTTACATGTATTTAAAACATTTTGTAGGAAGCTGAAATAATACACACCTAGCCGCTTTCTTATGGGGTGACTGGATACTGGGATAGAACTTAGAGACCCAAGGGGAGTGTGTCCACTACTTAGTGCTCTTATCCTGGTTACTCCAGGGAATTGCTAGCATGTGTAGCCAGCCTTAAGACTAATCTGTTGTAAACTCCCAGTACGTGCTTGAAGTTCTATGAGTCAATTTTTCATCACAGGGGTTCATATGCTTTTGATACCACTAGGATGGGATTCACAATGGTCAGGGACTTGTCATGGTTCAATATGGCATCCTCAGGGTCGGAGAGTGCTCTGTACATAGGAGATGCTCAGTATCTGCTGATGAATGGACGCCCGAAGTGTTGGTACAGGGGTTGAGATTCTGTTGTAAAAAGTGATTTCCCGATTCCCACAGAGACATATTCTCTAAGAAGAAGATGGCATGTGTGCCTGAGGCCCAGCCCCAAATTTTTTTAAAAACTAAAATGTGATCAAACAAAGCAACGAATGACAGCAACAAACAACCGAAAACCCTGACTACGGTTCCCTTGCCCTCCCCACACCTCTCTTTGTGCCCAAAGCATTTCCGTAAATACTTAGCAGAGAAACCAGAGTTCTGCTCCATAACCTAAGAGGGGAAAAAACTGCCAGGAAATTATTTCCGAGTCATACCTTGACCATAACTGAAAACACTGTACTCCTCAGAAAAGGGTAATTTAACAAGTAGTTCCCTTGAGGATGAGTGATGGCAAAATTACCCCCCAGACAGCTAAGAGAGGTCACCTATTAGATGGAGTGGCTTGGTATGCCTTGTCTAAGCATCCCAGATCATCTACCACGTGTGACAATTTCAGTTTTTATCAGAGATGATGCTAAGATGTCCTGTCTGAAAAAACTGTAGCCAACATGTTTGGCTGCTTCTAATGTCAGGAGGACAGTGCCTGTATCTTGCTACTGCTGGAGCAGGTAGGACTCGTCCCAATTCATCTACTATACAGATCAAGTTACTTACATGGAAGCTAAAAGGAAGGAGGGCAACTAGACTTTACAAACTGAATTGACTATGTGAGTAAAACATCTAGGGAGAATATTTGTTGAAGCTCGACCAGATGTTTAGGCTACCCACAGCAAAGTCTATGCATGTACCATAATACATTTCGCCAGTGCCTCGTGGCTAGTAGTAGAGTTCTCTTTTTGAAGCTTTTTATCTGCTCAGATGAAATTGCAGAGAGAAGCAAAATCTCAGATTTTTCTAAAGATGGAAGAACAAAAGTAAATGTGACTCCTAAATTAACAAATGAAGGCCCTAAATGACAATGGCGTCATAAATGACAGATTTGGTATAAACTAGGGGACAGCAATGACAAGGATTTGGTCTTCGCTGAAAGACAAATTGCTCATTTCCAGTTTGCTAGGTTTAATTTTAGCCTACTTAGACCAAAATCTGGGTACCATAGATATACAGAGGGTAAAAATAAGCTCCCCCTGCACTCACCAGGAGTC